TTTACAATTAAAAGTGATAAATAATCCATTTCCATTTTCATTTCAGTTTTAGTTATTTTAGTACATCAAGTTAAACTAAAAAAAATTTGAAATGCTTCCTTGACAAACAGCTATATAATATAATATAATATAATATAATATAATTTCAATTAATATTTATTTTTTTAAAAAATTATGATTTCTTTCTATTATGAATTTATTTTTTGTTAACTATAATAACCCTGATATGCTAATTGTTAAAGCTGCTGGATAAAAATTATCTGATGGGGCCACTGAAAATGTTGGCAGGGCCAGTAAAACAAATTCTTATTGTTGAGATCTGAAGTAAGCAGTAAGTAAATAAAAATAAATAGTTAGTTAGTTAGTTAGTTAGTTTTGGGTGAACCGTTCTTTTAACAGGCGACTTTTTTCCTGTTTCGTTGGGTTTGTTTGGTGGTTTGACTTCTTCACTTCTCTCGATGAGTTATGAGTGTCTTAATGACGTGTAGAGATCATTAGTAACTCCTGCTGCTCTCACTAATGTGCTGTTTGAAATGTTCTTGTACTTGTTCTCTTGTTCTTTATCCAAACCTGACATTCAGAGCACTTGAGGAATGATCTGCTTTAAAAAGTGACATGTTTACTCACATATTTTTCCATTCTCTTGGTGAGCATTAATGGAACAGAGCAGGGGTTTTCAACGGGCGGTCGGTGCGACACTGCAGGGGTCTGCCAATTATTGTTTGATCTCAAATTAATTTGCGTGAAAAACAAGCTTTATATAAAAACGAAGTATTACGTTAACTTCAACCAAATATGAAGTTAAGAAGTGGTTCATTTTCTGTCCTGCATTAAAATGTGCTAGGTTAAAACAATAATATTCTGAAATGATTTTACAACTTAAAATATCTATTTTCTGAATGAATATATTGTAAAATGTAATTTATTCTTGTGATCAAAGCTGAATTATCAGCATATAGCAGTGTCACATGATCCTTCAGAAATCATTCTAATATGTGACCCTGGACCACAAAACCAGTCATAAGGGTACATTTTTTTTATATAATATATAATTTGAGATTTATACATCTGAAAGCTGAATAAAAAATCTTTCCTCTTTACTTAATATCCTAATGATTTTTGGCATAAAAGAAAAATGGATAATTTTGACCCATACAATGTATTTTTGGCTATTGCTACAAATATATCCCAGCGACTTAAGACCGCTTTTGTGCTCCAGGGTCACATATGGCTTGTCAGAAAACCAAAAAACATACAATAAATAAATAAACAAATATGTAAACAAACAAAAAAATAAATAAGTAAAATAAGTAAATTAAATGAAATAAAATAAGTTAATTAATTATTAAATATATAAATTAATTTAAAGAAAGAAAGAAATAAAATAATAAAATAAAGAAAAAGTGATTAAATAAAAAAAATGATAAAAAATACACAAATACATCTAATAGAGTGCTATAGTAAGTAGAAAAAAGTAATAAGGTAACGTAATAGAAACAAATGATTTATTATAATTATTTGGGGTAGACCCAAAATATATAAATAATATTAAATAAATAAAAATTTTGATTAAAATAAAGAAATTAATGAAAAATATTTTTAAAAAAGATAAAAAATACATAATACATTTAACAGTACTATAGTGAGTAGAAAAAGTAATGTAAGGTAATGCAATAGAAACTAATAATTTATTATTATAAATTTTGCATAGAACCAAAACATATAAGTTGTATTTAAAAATAAATAAACAAACAAACATTTGATTAAAATAAAGACATAAAAAATTACAAAAGTACATAAATAATACACCTAACAGTACAGTATTATAGTGAGCAGAAAAAAAGCAATAACGTATTGTAATATAAACTAAATATTGTCCAACTACAATACACAGTTTATGACAGGGTTATTAAAATGAACTAAAACAAACTATGAAAAAAAAAGGTTTAAAATAAAATAAATGTTAAATGAAATAAAAATTTCTCATTTTTGTTTCGTTTACCTTAAAATACTGAAACAACTAAATGTAAAACTGAAATAAAAATTAACTAAACTTTACAGACATATTTTTAAAAAAAGACAAAAAAACACAACAAAACTGCTTCAACTTTAAATATCAAATTATTAAAATAAAATTATTTATTAAAAACGTATTTGTATTTACAAAACATTTATAACAATTATAATAGTATATTAACGATACATGTCCGAGATGCTGCTGGAGTGAGAGGACTGCATTCTTAAAACACATTATGACACTAATGCTGTTATTATTTTCCTTAGGACAATGAAGCAAAAGGTCCCTGTGAACAGATGTGTGTGTGGAGGAGAGCAAAGCTTTCCCTTTCCCTTCCCTGCTCTGGAGTCAGCAGTTCACGAATCAATCCCTCGCTCCTCCAGCAGTGTGAACATCTGCTCCTCAGCCGGAGATTCACCACACAGCAGAAGTACAGTGTGTGTGTGTGTGCTTTCTCTCTCTTATTCTTCAGGGTATATACAGAAATCATGGAGTTAAATTTAAGACCTTTTAAGACCTTTTTTAAGACTCTTTCCATACATTTTAAGACCTCATCGCCACTCCAAGTTTTAACCGGTTACATCGGCAACACTTTAACCTACATTTACCTTATATTGATTGTAAGATAGCGCAACTAAACAGACTTACTTTGTGATAACTCCTTATCAATACAACATAATGCAGAAGTGTGGAACGAAGCACAAGAGAATTAAGACTAACCCAATGCAACCCAAGAAACAAGAATTAGACCAATAAACAAAACAACTGACAAAACTTATTGAGGAGGGAAAATAAAGCTCTCCGAGCTAACGGGGCAATGAGTTCACACAGTATATTCAAAAGATGTATTTGTAACATCAACTCTTATAACTGTCTGC